TTTCCGGGGAAGCACCCGCGTGAGAGATGTTTAATGCATTGTACTAAGCTGTAGACTTTTTGAGTATTTCGTTCTGGGTTGAGTGTTTTTCCTTGCCGCCCGTGCGCCGGTTGGGTGAAGTGTGTTCGAGTCCTGTTGTTTTCGTGGCTCGGCATTTGTTAACCATTTTTTTTGTAGTATTGTTTTATCTTCTTGTGTCAGTCGTATCTTTACTAAACTTGCTTTGTTCCAAAGCTGCGTGTCTCCCCTTCATTGGCAAGACTCCACTGAGGCGTGGGCCTATCGCCTGATCGGTGGCCCTTGGTGTTTAAGCAAAGAATATCAGAAAACCTGTGACAGGGTGTCCTGGTCCGGGCATAAGTTATGTCCGCTCCTTTCCTATATCTCAGTAAACAATCAAATGTGTTTTTTTTCTTTAGCTTACAACATGCACACTTTTTATGCGCCTCTGGGTTGTGCTCTTGATTTTTCTTGAAGCACGTGTTTCCTCCAGAATCTGTTGTGGTTTAAGTGTTAGACGCGTGGACAGCGTTGTACTTCTCCAATTGTGTTTTTTTTTTTTGCTTTTATATGATTTACGTGTGCTAGAACGATTACAAAGAACAGAATGTTTGAGCGCAAAACAGCTGGTGATGATTAAACACGTAGAGCGCGATCGAAATGATGCCGTTCCTTTTTGTGTCCGAACGCAACTGCCCGTGCTCGCCGTGCTCTCACGAACCCGGGCCAAGGTTTCGTGTGCCCCCCGATTTGCTTCATTTTTTCAGTCCTACAAACATGATGAGCTAAAACCCTGAGACTAGGGAGAAAAACGACGATGAAGGAGAGGAAGAACCGGAGTCTCAAGCACTCAGGATGACGGAGAGGTTGTTCCGAGACTCTCAATAAACACTGACTGATTGATTGATTGTTTGTTACTTTTTAATTTTTTTCGTCGTTGTATTTTTTTATTATGCGTTATATTTTTGTAATTAACTTTATTTTTATCATTACCTTTTTTTTTTCCGGGAGTTTACATATCTCGCAGAAACTTGAAACCGTCCTCATTCTCACGGAAGCAGCGTTCAACGCCCCTTACTCTGCCGCTTTTTCTTAGCACTCCCGTGCGCAGGGAGGAGCACCCTTCTCAGGCGGCTGAGAAGGGTGGAGTTCGTGGAGTATGTTTTTTGTTTAGTGTTTATGATTACCTTCATCCAAAGTAACCTCACCTCATTTGTGGAAGGGGAGAGGGATGGTGTTGCGATAGGCCTTGGTCAAGGCCACGTCCCTTCCTTCGCACCCCCCCCCCCCCCCCCCCTCTTCTTTGTCCACCCGGCGGGGGTCTCGCCATCCCATTGAGGGTCGGCGACCGGCCGTCTGAGCCGTTGTTGACAGACAGCGTCCCTCGGCGTCGTGTTGACGTCGGGCGAAGATTCCCGGGTGACGCCGCCGGCGGCGGGACTTCCGCGGGAAAGGGGGGGGGGGGGGGGGGTGAGCTCGGTTTGGGTTGTCGTCTGGTGCCACATTCGGATTATCCCGCCAAACCCTTTTCCTGAGGCATGACGCCGCCTGATGGAGGGATCATCACCATCACGGTCAACGTCTCACGGGCTGACAAAGGACGCTTTGTCACCGACTCCTTGGCGCAGCTTATTGAGGGCGAGAGTGCTTCGGAATGTGAAGCCCGTGTGCCACTGCAGTGTGTGCGTGTGTGTGCGTGCCTGCTCGAGGGGATAAGGGGGGGGGGGGGGGGTTGGACATGATGTATGTTGGCAGCTCGGCCACCATTGGCTGCCAACCGCTGGAGTACCAACAGCGAGCCCATTAAGGAGCAAACGAGAGGTCGCAAAGTGTGCTCTCGGATGATGTAGATACTTCTGCATATATGTAATTAAACAGAGTTTATCGTGAGAGACCCTCCGGTCTCCTGATGTTCCTTCCGGGAGTCGGCCTGCGGTTCCGGTCCTGGCCTGGCCCTGCCTGAGGCTGCCTGGGGAACTCCTCGGTCACAACAATGGGTAATATAAAAGGTTGGGCACTTATACAAAAAATAAAGATATCTTGTAGCATGTGTACAACTCCGATCTCTTTATTCACTGTCATTACAGTTTGTAAGATCTTAGTCTACGCGGCATCCTTTGCCAGCGAGAATTTTAAAGTATCTTAAAATTGTTCCCATCATATTTGCTTTTACACAGTCAAATGGAAACAGATACCGGACGTACGCGTCATAATATCAAGCATTTTAATCGTTTTATAAATAAATGAAACATTTTTTTTTAATTTTATAAAATGCGTTGAGATTTTTTTTTTTTTTTTTTGTATTACTAAATAGAATGGTACGCTATTCCTTCTCGATCGGTGCAACAACATCCGTCATAACTAGGGTTCTGTGTTTTGGGCATTTATATATTTCTTCAAATTCGGGGGGGGGGGGGGGGGGGTGTTCTCGGGTTTATTTTTTTCCGCAGGTTCAGTGTTTTTCGGTGTCAATTTTTGGAGTTCGGCGAAAACTCGGTGTTTATCGGGGACCATGTTGAAGAAAATAAAACAAGGGCATGGGTTGCCTAACTTCCAGGGAACATGTGCTTAACCAGAATACTCGAAAAATATCTAGGAACCAATTAAAGGGAACGAAACTGTGCTGGGGACGCGGTTCACGAAGAAATTAGCAGCCTCACGGGCGGTTCGACTAGGCTTCACTAACCATGTACAGTTACGGCGCCGCAGATGCGGCCATATTGAACACAGTTAATGGCTTGAGCGATGATGTTCGGCCTCAGTTGAGCTCGAGTGTCATTAACGGCTGCAGAACAGTTAGCACCACCGCGTAACTAGGCCGATCCCGTTCGGATTTACTAGCGTTGTCTCGGTGGCAGTTGAGAACACTGGTGCACAGTGCTCGATTTGTTTTCAAATAGCATTTCAAGTGCGAGAGAAAAAAAAAATGTGGTAGAAACTGGCGATCACGCGTTAGAGCCAATGTGAAGTGTCGTCCACTTCATGCGCCACTGCAAACAGGCTTGTGTATAGACACGCCCGTTTACTAGGAGCGTTCCTCACGGTAAAGTACTCTCGCCAAGCCGCGTCGTCGACGCAGCGGCTGAGTTATGGTGCCAGGAGCGCGTCTCCGACTGGTGTGTTTACCGCGTCAAAAAAAGGTCCCTCAATTTGCGCCCGATGACGTCATAAACCAGCTCTTCCGCTGCTTGTCGCGATACTGGCGGTGGCACAGCAGCAGCGGTGGAGGCGGCCAGACGCTTGTTCTGCCACAGGTCGCTCTGCAGATAGACAGACGTCGGAAACCAAATCAGACACGAGTTGGGACGCCGCGACTACAGCGATCCTTGTGCCCGATCGCCTCATTGGCCAGCATTTCTACAACCAACCGCCAGGATCGCGACATCCGACTACATGGCACGCCGGCTTTTGTGACGTACTGTGTCGCCACTTTGGAGACCATTTTCGATGCACGGGTGGGAAGAACGCTAAAGGTACCGTAGCGGAATCATCGTCACGAGCGCTGGCATAGCACCTTCTATACTCACAAAGCCTGGCAGTTCGACGACGGAGCCATAGAGAGCACCCTCGCAGATTTGGAGCGCGAGGATCTAGTAGCACAGAGAATGTCTCGGGGAACCTAGGTATTCAGCGCACAGCTTTTGCAGTGGCGAGGACCCGAAACATGGTTTTTACACTTGACGAGAAAAGAAGCGGTAGCGCGAGGAACGCGAGCAGCACGACCGAACATTCATTGCTCGGGAGAAGTGTGCTTCGGCGTCTCGCCGCAGCGGGGCGCCTGTTACACGACCCTCGTCTCATCTGTTGTCTGCCGCTCTACCTTTTCACTTTCGGCGGCCGCGTCTCGGGGCCAGAGGTCGGCATTTTAGGTCGCCCTCACTCACCCTCACCCTCACAGCCACACTCACCTCAGTTCTTCACTTACCCTTAAACTCAAAGCTACACTCACGTTCAGCCCCTCACTCACCCTCGTCCTCACAGTCACACTCACCTTCAGTCCTTCACTCACCCTCACTGAACCTTACGGCCCTCACGATCCTCACGCACTGATGGCCCTCACACCCCTCACGCACTCACCACCCTCACGGCCCTAACGCACTCATACTCATCACGCCCCTTACGCACTCACCGCTCTCAGGCCCCACACGCACTCATGGCCCTGACGCCCCCCACACACTCACCGCCCTCACGGCCCTCACGCACTCATACACCTCACGCACTCATGGCCCTTACGCACTCACCGCCCTCACGCCCCTCACGCACTCATAGCCCTCACGCCCTTCATGCACCCACCGCCCTCACGCCTCACACGCACTCATCGCCCTCACGCCCCTCGTGGCCCTCACGCTCTTCACGCACTCATGGCCCTCACACCCCTCACGCACTCACCGCCCTCACAGCTTTCACGCGGCGACCCTCACGCCCCTTACGCACTCATACCCCTGCAGAGAGCTGAATCTGGTTTCATATCGCGCTGGTTGTCTTGCATTCAGTAATTTATTGTTTTCGCACTCCGATAACCTTACCGAGTAATTGTAGGCAAATTCCCGGTAGCGAGCTATCTTTGCTTTTCGATCCGTTAGATCATTTACATCATATTCAATTACTCTTTTATTGTTGCCGGTAATCTAAGATGTCAGCACGAGAGAGCGTTGCTACGCATATGCAAATATATTTCGCCATACAATCCACCAAAACTGCATTCTGAATAATCCCTTTAATTCTGCCACATCGATGTCGGCTGCTGTTATCAGTGAGCGGGGATGATTTTCTAAAACTCACTCTTGACAGTATCGTTAAATACTACCTGCTTTAGCAGAAGTCTGCATCAATGAACTGTATCATGCTCTCTGCTCTTTTCTTAATTTATTGTATTGGTTTTTTAGCGTATTTTGGGGGAATTAGTTTCCAATTTCTCGCCATCCGTGTCCATTCGTGCCTTTGCACTTACCCAAGGTACATGCATGCGTTCGCATATAAACCACAAACGACTGCTTGTATCCGGACGTCCGTCATTCACCGCATCATATTTATTTTCTTGGTGTCGTACAAATAAACAAAAATAACAAAAAGAAGCGCTTCCTTTTATTTTAAAACCGAAAAAAAAAAGCCAACAGCGATATAACGAATAAAACAACAAGGTATACGCGGGCTTAGGGTTGGAAGGTCAGCGGGACTCTCTTCGGTGGGATCTGGACTGAGTGGCACGAAGAGGGAGAGGTGTCCAAGGAGGGAAGAAGGGAGGACATCGCTATGGGCTTTTCTCCGGAGGTGTGGGACGCGCGCTCGCTCGCTGCCTGAGTCTGGCCAAGGAGGCTCTACATGTGCCGGGTGTTGCCGAAGTTCTGGCCGCTCTGCGTGGCGCCCTTGTTGGAGCCGTACTGCAGGTTGATGATGCCCTCGGAGGCCCGGAGCTGCTCCTGGGTCCACTCGCGCTTCTGTTCCTCGGAGGGCTTGGGGCCCAGGCAGGGGCCTGTGTACTCGGGGTGATTGTAGCACTGCGAGGAGACGCAGGAAGGGACAGTGGTTGGGGGTCGTCATTACGAGCTGTCGACAAAATATCCTCCACTAAAAAAAGAAAACACAATTTACTTTGTTTTTCTGAATCTCATAGAGAAGTTCGAAGAATGTCGCTAATGCTTTAGACACAATTGTGCCGTTTTTAATATTTTGTCTCGGCTACAATTCGCTCAATGCTTCTGAGTTGCGCACTTGCCCTGCTGAGGTCCTCATGCAGTCCCGTTGGCCACTGCTTGATCTCCCGCCTATCTATTTTGGTCCGAAATTCGTTTACGCGCGCATTTTCTGTTTTTTTAGTCAGTGGGTATGGAGTCGCAAGTTTAGTACGACTAATGCTAACTGGATAATTCATCAAAGTAATTTATGGTGAAAATTGCTACACCAAGGACCGAGAAACGTTGCATTTATATTTGTGGCGCGTAAGTTGAGCCAGACTGATTGTTTCGATGTATATTTCAAAGAGCTACTGATTAAGCGTGTTCTGAAGCCAAGACATAGACAAAACCAAATTTCGTACTTTTTGGAAGCAAGAAATTTTACCTTGCATATATCAAAACCCCACTCCCCCTTCCAAAAAAAACAAAAAACAGAACGTGCAGATGAAGTGGTATTTTTTTTTTCATTTTGAACATCAAAGCGCGTACGTTCAGAAAAAACAAAACTTACAACATTAAAAAAAATTCTGAGGTTTGTTTTGAAGAACCTTGCAGCTGAGACGCCTGAACTACCGCTAGACCGGTTGACGCGCCTCTCTCTCGAGTAAATATTTGTTCGTGTCATTATTTATTTTATTTCTCATTTATACTGGTTCATAAAATATAAAGAGCGGTTTTAAATAGGCGCTCTCACTCGAGCTTTAGGGTTTCGCGAGCAGAAACTTGACCCACTTGTGTCAAGACAGCCCCCTCTTTACTGCCCACAACTCAAGCCGCTGATGCGTCCCATGGGGAGTGCGTCTTCTACTCACGGCACGTCCGATGGCCATCAGGCACTGGGCAACTTGGGCGATGTTCCTCTTCTCCCAGAGGTCAACCGTCTGGAAGACGTCGATCTCGGGCACGCCCCACTGCTTGGCAGCGTTCTGGAAGTTGGTGATGTTCTCCATCATCTTGAACTGGCCGCCGGAGGTGTTGATCTTGGGGATGCAGCCGGGCATCAGCTTGTTCATGAAACTGGGAAAAGAAAAAATGTCACCGTCATTGTTCTTGTTTAATACGTACATTTCTATTTGTCTTACAGAGGCGCTGGAAACCGAAGTTGATTGAACCTTGATGATTACTCAATTCGCCCTTTTGCATTCTAACTAAAGAATCGAACCCAAGAGGTTCTTTGGGTGTCTTAATTTCGAACCTGCAAGGTTTCATTGATAATAAGTACCGGCGGGCGATAAAAAAAAAATGAAGTTTTTAAACGAAATTAAGAGCATTTTTTATGCAACTAAATAGTTACCACTATTCACAGCATTTGCGTGGACTTTTTGGAAGCTTTTCACTCGGTCTGCGAAACATTACTGCTTTTTGAACTAAGTAAACATAGCCTAATCCCGATTGTTTGAGGGTGGATTGAATGCCTTTTGTCTAACCGTACGCAGTTTATGGCTGCAAACGAACATGATCCTACCCCATACCTGTAACATCTGGGGTCACACAAAGACAAATATTAGGGTAAATGACCTACCTAACGGCATTTCTTCTTCCATAAATCTGTTCGCCGACGACTTTGTTATTTGTCGAAAAATTATGAACCCTACTGATCTGCTTACCCTTCAATTTAATTTAGAAATCTTTTTTTTTCATGGTGTGACACTTGGCTGATAAAACGTAACGCCACTAAATGCAAGTCAATGAAAATCTGACGCCAGACTTTGGGCATTGCATCCTGTGACTACATTCTTAAAAAATGTCTCATAAATATCCTACATCTCAAATATTTTTTTTGTTGGCAAACTTACATTGACTATCTGACAAGTAACACGAATCAAGCACTTGATTATCTATGGCGAAGCGTTTCACTAGCCCCGTCCAACCTGAAGATTCGTCTTTACAAACCGCTACTAATATCAAACTTGAGCATGCATCATCGATTTGGGTCCCTCACTTTAACTGGCTCATTTTTAACATACAGGTCACCCGGAATCGTCTTCTGCGTTTTATTTTTCAGACTATATTCGAACTGCCAGCATTAGTTCGATGAAATGTAATCTAAACTTACCTGACCTTCTTTTTTTTTTTTTTTTGGCGTCGTAAAATCCCTGTTTTTTGTCTATTTTATAAGGTTTACCATTCTACCCGGAATTTTAGCGCCTCTCTCTTTGCAACGCCATCGTGCATTTAATCCCGCAGCGACCACCAGTTTAACGTTCCTGCAGCCGCACCAATTTGCACTTCGGTTCCTTCACTTCGAAGGCTTTGAACGACTGAAACATTCTCCTAGCCTCGATCACTTCGATCACCGACACCGACGTGTTCAAAAACAGCCATCGCTAATCATTTTGAACAATCTTTCCAATGTTTTATTTTTTGTTGCTATCGCTTTAACCCACTCCTCTCTGTACTGCTTCGGGCTTGAGAATCAATCAATACCAAAAATAAATAAAGTGGTTATGGACAGCGAGACCTAGAGTTGTCGAACTGAAGCTCATGTGACGCCATCACGTGACCGACAAAATGGGATGGAAAGAAGAATCACGCGTGAGCATCGTTGTTTGGCTCCCGTGCAACAGAGCATGCGAGAAGCAGTCGTGTGTCCTTTACGGGTCATCCCATCATGGCTACCTGTTGGCGACTCCCAAGTTTACGGAAAGTGCCCCGACTTACTGGCAGAGGATCGTTCCGTCGCGCAGGGTGTCGCCGAAGTCGCCGCGGGGCAGCTGCTGACCCATGATGGCCGACATCCAGTCCAGGATGCTCTCTTCGAGGGCGGGGTCGCGCTTGCCCGCGATCTGCGTTCAAGGCATACAATTTAACGGCTCAGTGAACGCTTAAAATATCCGGCGCACATAACAGTACCGTGTTTCTAGATACCGACCTATACATCGCGACACTAAGGCTTGCGCTGAATATAATTTCAGAATAGGCGATTTGAAGTATTCAGATTTGCCAAGAACGGTTCGTGAATGGAATACGTTACCAGAAGAAATGAATAATTCATATATTTAATCCGATTTTGTTAGTTGTCCAGATAAGCACCCATGACTTTGTTCGATAGCTATGTTTTTTGTCAACCATTTCGTCGTTTACCCTGAGACTGGGTTTTTTTTTTTTGAAGAGCAGAAGTAACAGAAAAAACAGACAGGTCTGTTTAGATAGACAGGTCTGTTTTTTTAGTTACTTCTGCTCTTCAAAAAAAAACCCAGTCTCAGGGTAAACGTCGAAATGGTTGACTTCCACCAGCTAGCCTGTACTTTGACTCTTTTCATGTTTCTTGTGTGTGCTGTTTTTCATACTTTTGTTTTGACGCCCTATGGAGACGTCGTCCTGTCTATTTTCAGTCCCTTCTACGTTTTGATGTTTCTTCTCTACCCCAGTCTCAGGTTGATTCAACATGGTTAATATTCACCAGCTCGCCTGCACCCTTACGAGTTTTGCCCTATGGACGTTACTGAGGGGCTTTCTACCCTTTTGTATTTTCACTGTATCTGAAGGCACTCTTGGAGGTTGTACAGTAGTGTTTTTTTTTCTATACACTCCTACTGTGTCTTTAGTGGAGAATGTAGTATTTTAAAGTAAAAAAATAAAATTGAAGTAAGATATCTAAGTCACAATGGCTTTGAACAAAAGGCACCAGGTCCGCCGACAATGCTACGTTAAGTAAGCAGCACTTCTTCTTTTGTACAGTCATCAAATTGATCTACGTAAACGCCATTGACCACAAGACTTGATTCTTTTCATGTTTTGTTTATTGCTAGAAGTCATACGGACACCCGCAAGGCTCACTGATCGTGCATTACATAAAAATAAATCATGTGTTCCTGTTTCTTGGTATGCACATAATAATAATAGAGCATCCAAAATGTACTTTTATTTCCGTGCCTTTTCTACGAGGGAAACTATACAACCGTGCTGCGAGGTCATGCAAAATCACATTTACCTTTCTTACTTTCTAAAGTGGAAGTTAAAAATAACTTAACAAACGAAACTAAACGAGTTTTATGACAAGTTCATTATTATACTTACAAAACTTTATTTTCAGACGAAAGCCCTAAACTACTGAGGTTTAGGTTTTAAGGACGATATCCTCCTGAGAAATACCGGATGTGCTACATGGACACCTCTTTCTGTAAATGAACATTGTGTTCACATTTGTTTTTATAATGTTGATGTTTTTAGGTGAGTGCGGTGTGCAATGGGACATTGTCCAATACAAGAACAGGGTGTCCCCCAAAAAGAACGTTTTGCGTTTTTTCTTTGTCAAACTAAACTACACATCGCCGAACGGTCTGTCTCCGGCCGAATATAGCGCTAGCAAACGGACCGGTTTGCTAGAAACAGCGTCTCAGCTGATCAGGGGGAAAACAAAGCACTGCCCAAGCCAGCGCACGAGCTGAGCGGGACTCGAAACCTGCCTCAAGACGCTCGCGCCGCGCCCCAGCCTTCGCAGTGCTTGCTTTCACCCAGTCTCAGCTGAGACGCTGTCCTAGCCAAGTCGGCCCAGATGCCAAAGTTTCAAAGCTTGTCGTTATCGAATTCAAATGTGAAAAGAGATTTTCAAATATTCGCGACGGGATAATGTTGGCCGACGAAGTCCACAAATACACGAAGCTGAATGGCGTTAGCTACCGGAAACAGGACCCATTTCCCCATTTAATTTTTCATAAAATCACACACAATTACAACCTTTAAATATGGTAACGGATAGTTCTGAAACTTTGACATCCGGCTCGTACTACTAGCACTGCATTTGAGTGGAGAGTTAGCGGCCGGCGTTGCGTATTTAATTTTTGCGGCGAGAAAAACGCTGTAAAATATATTTTTTTCGGGCACACGCTGTATTTGGGCGTCCTAATTTGAAGATAACGTTACAACATCTCCGGCTGCCTACCCGACAGTGTACTATAGTGCACACGCCGAGCATTATTCGGGGGAGAAAATCCGCGAATTGAAATGTGTCAGAGGGGATTTTGAGGGAGTCTGCTTCTATTTCGAGCGTGCGGAGGCGGGTCGCCGTGCAGCACCCACATTGGGCGCCAAGTTTGGCTGACCCGAATAAGCCGGTCCTATTTTTAAGCCTGTCGTCTCCTAGGGACGTGCTGGCGGGCTGTGCGTTGCTGCGGGGAAGAACTACATGCGCAATTCCATATTTTCCTGGATTGGTGAAAACGCCCTCTTCCTTTGTGGCAGTAATGAGTTCGGTTGGATTCACAGACTTACGTGACAGCTCTTCGATGGACCTAATTCTAGAAAATTCTTCCCACCAACGCTAGACACTGCATGGTCTATGCCATAATGCGTTCAAAATATATTTGTCAAAACGCGAGTTGTATGTGGGTCTGAAGTGTATAGGACAATGATTGACGTTGCACCGATCAGTGCAGCTGACGTTGCAAAGCATATAATTAAGTTTATTTAGTTAGTTGGTGTCCGAAATTGCGTAACTTGTCTTTTCTGTTGTTTTTTTTAACTTTTTTCTTGTTGTAAAAGGGCGTTTTTTTTTGTTTGTTTAGCAGTAACTGTGCACTACAGCTATATTTTTGAAGTTAAAATAGCGTCCCCTCAGAACACCGAAGACTAGTTTTATCTTTATCCGGCACGAATCGGAGTACTATAATCCTCTATGCTCTACTTGCTCTAAGAGAACGCGTTTCGTTTTCTCCCATGTAGGATTTTCGGCGTGGGGTTTTATTTTTAGTTGAAAGAAACCGTCGAGCTTCATCATGCAGAACGTTACTTTCTTTTTTGTACGGAACGCGGACATTTTAGAAACATCAGAAAGAAGCGGTCAGATTGGTATTTAGAAGACAAGCAGAAATCAGAAACTCTAATCGGTCCTTTCGAAATATCTATTTGTAATTCGATTATCTCTTGTAGACGTTTATTAAGTTGGTCGTTACCAGGCTATTTTTTGTTTCAGCTTTTAATTGGCATGCGATAGCGTGAATCGATCGGCGATGTAATTATTCACGCCTTACACATAAAAACAAAAAAAGCAACGCCCAGATTATATGTCCACTGTATATGGAAGAGGTTTAGCTGGTTAGCTGACCTATGGTTTGTAACACGAGGCCCGATGGGCCGGATGGGCGAAAATAGAATAACCGACCTGTAGGTAAAAACTGGAGGGAGCCAACGAAGCAAGACGTTCGCGGTGTATTATGCCACTCGTTAGGTGACGTTGCCATTACCACGTCTTGGCACGATTAACGACCGATGACGTGATAGGTTCCTTCTCGAGTAAAACAAGGTGCTCAGAAAAAAAAAAGTCCGGCTGATAAGACTTGCGGCATCTTGGATACGATCTCTGGGATAGATCAAAAAGCGACGTACCTTGTTGGCGACTTGGGCACTAAGTCCATAGGCGGGTCCACGGTTAGCCATGACGCGAGATTTGCGAAGCGAGGGTTTCCTCGGAAGCGATCGGGATGAGCACTGAGCGAAGACTGGACACACTGCAGAGGCGCGCTGGGGCAAGGTGCCTCGAAGACCTCCTAAAAATACTCGGGCGCTTTCGCTGGGCGCTGGGAGGCCCCGACCCGAGCCCGCCTGTCATTGGTCGACGATGATGTCAGAGCCGTGCCATAACGGGTCGCCCCGGGGGCCTCCGCCAATGGCCAGGACCCAGGTTCGGCTTTCGAGACAGACGCTTGCGCACTGTTGCAGCAACGCAAAGTGTCGAACGGCTGAGCTGTGTATCCGTTGCGTCAGACTGGCACGCAGATGAGGGCGTCAGATGCATTCTCCGCGCAACCGCATCTCGTTTGTTCAACAATTACGGAGTCACCCGATCGGTGCACGGCGGCTCACGTCTTGTGTCATCCTGCCGAGTCGGTTTATTTTAGGGGTGATTTGTCGCGCGTGAGACCCGGTTCTCAGACACACCGGGCGTCACTTTAGGGAGGGGGGCTTAAGTTTGGCACTCCAATTGGTTTCCTACACACTCCGCTGCGTGCGAGACTAACGACGTTTAGCCGCCATGTGCTTATTTTACTTCACAGACTGGAATCGATGTTGTCTAACGACGGGAGTACTTTTCGCCTGGGTCATCCGAGATTTTTGTCTACTTTGCCTAAACATGGTGCATCGTATTCGTTATATAACGTTACAGATACAACGTTCGATATGGTTGTCTTGGATCATTGAAGACCAGCACGTTCTTAAAATAAGTTGGAATTAGTGGAAGCGGCGTTGTACGAGGCGAATTGACGTTCGTGAAGTAATCCCTTCTTCAAAATTATATGATTAAGAGCTTGGCACAAATACGAACAGGATAACAACAGTTTACAAAAAAAACAACTCGACTTTGAACAGTGTCAATTAAATAAATAATAATAAAAAAACACGAGGACAGGGGCAGGTCTTTTTTTTTTGTGAATATTCGTAGACAAAAATTTATCACATTGCTTTATTTAATGATTTTCTTGGTATGTGTTTTTTGTCTGACTGTCAACTCGTAGAAGTGACGTTATACAACTTTTTCTTAAAAAAATAGTTATACGAAATTGTGCTAAAAGATTGAGCCCACCAAAAAGGAAAGCTGCTTTTGGAATAAAAGAAGCATGCACGCACTGATGTCGGACTCAACTTAAATTTTTTGTCATTTTCTCTTCGCGGGTAGGAATACGTTTTTTTATAACCTGGCTTTGCGCAAGAGCCGTTTTCTCGCGTTTATTTTTATGATGGCCCCTCGTTGGCTCGGGTGCAGGCAGCGCATACCTGAAAGATGCATTTGACAAATAAAATGCAAACGAAGGAACAGTAATCCCGTCAACGCTCTCGTAAAAATGTAATAAGTTGCATGTTTAGCGGAATCGGAGGCATTGGCTTCCAGTGCTCAAGAAACTAAAACGTGTTGCAGTGGTATATCTATAGTACTGCCGTGCTTCGATTGAGGGACCAGTGAGCTCCAAGGGCTAGCAGCTGTACACGCCATTTCAGACGCAAACGGCTTGGTGACGTCACCCAGCAAAATCTATGTGGGATTCCCTGAGTGAATTTGGAGAGGTCCAAAGGCGCCTTGTGCATGCGCCGTAAGTGCTGTAAATGTGAGCGCACGCTTGCACGCTAAAGGAGATACCAATTTAAAAATGCCCCCAAAAGGCTCCAAATTCACCGAGAAAATTCTCTATTCATAATTGCAAGCATAGCACCCGACCGGTGCTTCATACGTGCAAGCAGCGTGCAAACAAGCAAATTGTTGTGTGTATGTTTACACAGCCAGAAGATAGTCTGCCTCAGTGGGCGTCTGGTGTCTCAGCTGTAGACGAACAATTTAGGCAGTACGGTACAACCGCTAGCCTGGGGTCTTTAACGTGCACCACGCAGTAGGGATACACGAGCGCACGCCGGTACGATGCTCATCCAGATCGAAACGGGCAGGGGTGGGGATTGATTTCAGGATCTCTGGGTTCTGCAGCGCGAGCTTTCGCTCCACGTGCTGCGAGCTGGTGTGCGCTAGCACACCCGGCCACCGATCCCCCTGCAGCGTGCACGGAAACGTATTACAGCGGAGCTGTATTAGCGGCGAGATGGCTTGGTGGCGCCTAGTGGCGCCCTCCTATGGTTCCCCCTTGTGACATCATTATCTTGCAAACAACAAGTTCGATGGTGTTTGTCAATAGCATGGTGGAAGCTTGAAATCATTGCGCTCTCAAAGGAACACTGCCAACACCGTCAAAATTAAAGTTGTTTCATTCCTCTTATTTCGTCAATGATAAATCCCCTTTCTGACGTCATAATCAGCGTTGGCCAATCGTGGAAGGCCGACCACAGCGACGCTTTCGGTCGCGCACGTCGCCAATAGGGCAAGGTTCCCAAGAATCGTGTCGGGTGCAAAAAAAAAAAAAAAGAAATGTCGACACAAATTTACGCGCCATCTATATGCGACAGCGACAACCAGTCTGGTTGCCACCGTCACTCATAGATAGCGGCAACCTTTCCAGCTATCGTAGCAGAATGGATAGTTGGGCGAGTTGGTGGGAATTCATCGTAGGAAACAGAGCATAAAAAAAGGGGAAAAAGAAAAAAGAAAAGACGAGGACGAAGAAGAAACGCGCGTGACGAGCGCAGGGCACGTCACGTGTGTTTCTTCTTCGGCTTCGTCTGTTTTGCGCGCTGCTTCCTACGCTCTAATCAGTTTCGGTTTGGACTCATGATGGGTCAGCCGCGTACCCTTTTTTCGGGGAAAGAAGACCGGGTGCGGAAGGAGCGGCGACGTACGCAGCAGCACGAATGGGTCCGCAACCGCCGCGTGCGTCGAGCGCTTCAGATTCCCTTGCGAAAGAAGAGCAGATCGCTCGCGTGGAAAGCCACCGCCGAGAACAGAAGCTCCGCTGCTCCTTCTTCACCAGAGTAGAAAGGCTGTTTTTGACAAGCTTCCAATTGCACATACTTGTGCGTGCAAGCAGAGGCATGGCGGCCACAAGATGCCCTGCTTGCAATCGTCTATACTACAGGGATCTCGAGGATATTTGTTTCTGTGGTCAGGGTATTAATTTTTCCGAGCAAGGCGCCTTCTTGAGAAAAATGAATACTCTGACCACAGGCACAAATATCTTCGGATATATATGTTCATAAACTCGTGTTGTTTGTATTACGCTGATTATTAGCAGAACGCGCGTGCTACTAATAATCAGCGTGATACAAACAATACGAGTTTCTGAACATATATATCCTCTATTGGCGACGAAATGTTTCGGTGGCGCCCTTTTATGGTTCCTATCCCTGACGTCACGACCGAGATTTCTAGTAGCGGCCGACAAGTCCGATGGTGCGTCAAAAGTGCGATGGAAGCCTGTTCATGAGGTTCCTAAATCAACACCATCAAAGTTGAGAATCTCACTTTGCTTTAACATTGGCTCTCGGCAATCTTTCCCGCGAAGAAAAACCTCCAAATATTCGTTTGACCGAATAGGGTAAATTAAAAAAAAAAACTGGGTGTTAATTTCTCTTTTTCAAGTTTGTACTTGGCACAAATTTATAATTCTACGCAAGAAAAGCGGCGATAGCCCTAAACTTAAACTAAAACACGCAAGGACAAACTAAGGGTAAATTGGTACGTTATCACTTTGTCTCCCGAAGTTAAATTTTAATAAATTAGTTACGTGCGCGAAATATTGTTTTCCTATTGCTGTTGTTTTTGATATTGCTGTAAATGAATTCCGCTGCTGTTGCTGATGGATGAAAAGGGGGGGGGGCAGGGGGGGGGGGGCGCCCTGTCAAGCAATTTTGTACTGCTTTTTTCCCCCCTCCCTCAATTCTCGTGTGAAGAGATATGAATAAACTTAAAGTCGAAATTGAAAAAAAAAAAAAAAAAAAAAGGCCCTTGAGAGTATTAGGCGTGTATGACATATTCGAGATGATGTCTAGGAACATTTTCAATAATATGTAAATTGTTCGTACGTTTTTGTTTCGTGTTTATACCGCAGACCAAGAGGATGTGGTAGAGATGAGATAGAAGTAAGGAGCCATACTTTAACAATCGGATCTTTGTTGGAAAGACTTCTATGGTTAGTCTTTACTAAACCTATAACATAAAAAGATACTTCCAAGGTGTAAGTTATTTTATTATGTTTATTTACAAAAACATAAATATTTTCTGATTTCCGCAGAATACAGGAAATTCGCACACGTATACGTTTTGAGTCCCTGTATTCACTGGCTGCCATGTATTCGCGCGCAGCTGTTTTGCACCTGTTGACAGTAAAAAAATCACATTGCACGCTGTTCAAAAGGACATATTAGAGAGTTTTAGTATCCTAAAGCTTTGGGTACCCCGAGCAGCTTGAGGGACCCATCGCGTTGGGGCTCGCTTTTTTAAAACCTACTATTCAAGTTGGAAATGGTACGAAGGCAAGCTATTCATTGCAAATATGAAAAGCTGGATTCTCGTTCGCAATTAATGCAGCCACAAAACACCTACTTAACAAATTAAAAAAACAAAAATGTTCCAAGGATTTTTTTTTTTTAAACAAGGATAGCGCTTGGCTTTGCCGCTGTATTCCCCTTTTAGCATCAAGAACAACCTGGCCATGGGCGCTTGTTTTCCACAACTCCCATGTCTTCTCGCGCTACGGAAACTGCTTACATCTTGGACTTTTAATTGACACTGACTTCATTGGAGGGTTTGAGGATGCCTGTTGCCTACACTCTAAGAGATACCTGCGCGTCTACTTACCCTCAAAACACTCAAAGAGCCAATCTCTGCGATCTAGGAAATCAGCTCAGCGAATGATGAGGCGGAACATCCGTTCAGACCTAAAATTGAAGTCGACGCTGTGGCATTATGCAATGCAAAGCGTCATGCTTGCATTGCGTAACGCCACAGCGCAGACTTCATTTTGAGGTCTAAACAGATTCTCCGCCTCATCATTCGCTGAGCTGATTTCCTAGATCGCAGAGATTGGCGCTTCGAGTGTTTTGCGGGTCGGTAGGCGCGCAGGCAATTTTAGAGCGTAGCAAAGATAGCTTTCTTGACGTTTATTTTGCGTGTTCACTACCAGTCAGTTAACGATTATGTAAGAGTAAATGTTTTATCCCATTTGATCATTATTGCTTTCGTGTGTTTGGGGTAACCTCGTGCCGATGAATCGTTTCCTGCATATTGTATTGTCTGAATGCCTGTGTACTGGTTTGTTTACCTCCTTTTCTTCTTC